GGGGTGTGTGTGTGTGTGAGTGTGTGAGTGTGTGTGTGCGAGTGTGTGTGTGTGTGTGTGTGTGTGTGTGTGTGAGGTGTGTGTGCGAGTGAGTGTGAGTGAGTGTGTGTGTGTGAGAGTGAGTGTGAGTGAGTGAGTGAGAGTGTGTGCGAGTGTGTGTGTGTGAGTGTGTGTGTGTGTGAGTGTGAGTGTGCGAGTGAGTGAGTGTGAGTGTGTGAGTGTGTGTGTGTGTGAGTGTGAGTGTGTGTGTGTGTGTGTGTGTGAGGTGTGTGTGTGTGTGTGAGGTGTGTGTGCGAGTGAGTGTGAGTGTGAGTGTGTGTGTGAGTGTGAGTGAGTGTCAGTGAGTGTGTGTGAGTGAGTGTGAGTGCGTGTCAGTGAGTGTGTGTGAGTGAGTGTATAGTGAGTGTGTGTCAGTGAGTGTGTGTGAGTGAGTGTGTGTGTGTGTGTGAGTGTGAGTGAGTGAGTGTGAGTGTGCGAGTGAGTGTGAGTGTGTGTGTGTGTGAGGTGTGTGTGTGTGTCGCACCGCCAGCTGGAACAGTAGTCTGCAGTGCCAGTAGGGAGTCTGCTGTGAGATCTGGATGGCCTTCCGCAGCAGCGGTTTCGCCGAATCAACCAAGTTCTTTAGAAGAGAAGAGTACTTCTTTACACGTCAACACAAATACACACAAACTACACAACTGATGTGTTTTATATATAGCACTCTGGTCAGTGTAAGCTGAACTTAAATGTGCTTTATAAATAAATTTACTATATTTTTATTACAAACATATTTAATATTTTATTTTTGATATATATATATATATATATATAACTTTTTGTTTTACTTATAACTATTATTCACACAGTTAATTATATATTATAAAATATAAATAGTGGTGGCCAAAATTATTAGATTATTAAACATTATTTTAAACATTACTCACTTTTTTCAAAGATAGTCGTGTTATTTTATTACTGACTTAAAAACGTGCATTATCATTATTTTGCTCGATGCGCCCTCTTGTGGCCTCAGGAGAGAAGTCTAAAGCTTTTTTCCCTCTAACTGAAATTATGCCATTCAAATTCTAATATTGATAATATTTAAGAACAAAATCTGAATTTAGTCTTTCAGCCATTTTGACAGCTCTAGTATACACAGAGCTCGTGTGATCGCGAATCTCGACAGTGAAAGTAAAAAGCGAGTGCACATTCAAAAGTGATTTTAATTCCCTGAATATTAATAATGGCTCCCTGATGCCCACAATTTACATACAGTATAATTACCCAACGATATTTGCGACAGAAAGCATTGAAATATATTGTATTTATTCCCTTCAGGGGTTCCGCAGTACACGTCATTTCCTTTCCGAACACGCTATTTGTGTTCAGGAACATCCCTAATGGGAAGTGTAAAATATTTTTGATCTATTAGTAAGTTAATAGTTAATAGTAAACACTGATTTCTTGAGTCAGGACTACCCATAGTATAGACCAGTGTTTCCCAACCGGGGTGCCGTCTGTCGAGAGCAGGGGTGCCGTGTAAAACATAATTTTTTAATATTTTTAAATTGCTAAAATCACAATACAGGTGCGTCTGACGTCAAGTGTGCACAGAACAATGATGAAAAACCATGAATCTATTTTTAAACGAATTGTGGCCAAGAATCGATACGAATCAAATCATGAGGTACCAAAAGATTCCCACCCCTAATATATTTTCTTCAAGAATCGGCTAAAAACACATCTCTCTCTCTCTATATATATATATATATATATTTCTAATTATTATTATTATTATTATTATTTACACACAGTGTAAGATGGTTCACTACAGATGTGAAAGCGGTGCTGTGGTGCTGTGGGTCACTCACCTGCTGGCAGTACAGCTCTGACAGCAGACTCGCCGCCTCAAACTTCACATCCTCAAACTGTGCCACCTGCACACCTGGGCTAAGGAAAGCTCATAACACACTGCTAGCATTAGCTATCACGTGACTCTCATACACTCACAGCAGAGCACAGCGTCTGTTTACTCACACAAATCACAATCTCGACACTAGTGGACAAGATCCAGCTTGACATTTGCTCAAAGGATACCTGCTGCGAGATAAACCACTGAAAGAGAGAGAGAAGCAGGAGTCTGTTAGCATCTACAGCAGCACATCCCATAATGCCACAGGACAAACACAGAGGGAAAACACAAGACTCTCATTATACATGCTTTACAATAATAAGCCCTTAAAACACGAAAACATCATCAATAGCACATTCCACCATTGACTCTGTGGATGAATTAGCAATAATAATAATAACACTGTAAAACGCGGGCCGGGACTGCGGCCTAGTCGCTCGGCTGAAGCCTCGGTCTTTCCTGCGCGCTCTCACCGCTTTCTCGAGGTGCGTGCGGGCCAGCTCGCTGTTCTTCGTGTGGTGGTAGAGCACCGAGCCGAGCTGCAGGTGCGTGCGGGCCTCCACTCTCTGCGGGGGCTTGAACTGGAAGACGGCCTGCAGGCAGTGCACACACAAGCGGATTTTGGGAGGGCTGGAGGTTCGGAAATGTTCGGCGAAACCGAGCAGAGCGAGATACCAGGAGTCCGGGGCCTCCGCGCCTGCCGCCATCTTCACCACCACAACACTAGAGCGCGGAAAATCTCGCGAGAGTTCCGCGGCCCTGCCCTGAACGACAGCTGGGCTGAATCTCGCGAGAGGACGATTTCGGTGTTGCCAATAGTGATGCAAAGTCCGATTCATTTCCACGAACCGGTTCTTTTCGGACAGATCGGCTCCTTGAACCGGTTCAAAAAGCCTATTATTCGGTTCCTGAAGTCATACCGTCTCTACGCATTTCTCTCCTAACAACTCAGCGCCGTGCTGTATCAATGACCAATAAGCCATTTGTGTCGACATGCATCGAAACATTCAAAAATAAAGTTATTTGTGTGAAAGCATATAGCTGATTATTGCCATATATCTATCTATGAAAATGCAATGTGTAATGTAAAATACAGGTAAAATGCTTGTGAAAAATGAACACAGAAACCCCTTCATATTAACGCCGTACACTGAGTGTTGCATTTAAGCTGCTACACACTGCTTACAACTATAATGGTTAATAATGTGTAATTTTACTAGCTATTTAGAAAATACAGAAGATGTCATTGTTACTAAATGGGTACATTTTCAATAATATTATAATAATTTTCCAAATATTAAATGCTTATATTACTTTTACGAACAAATCTGAATGAACATATTTCAAATTATATTCTGTCCCAGACTCGAGTAACTTCAGGGCGTGTCCTATGCTTGCGTCATGGTTACGCGATGACGTCATCGTTCAGTGACGTCACATCGACCTGCCTCCAGCACTTGCCTCTCCTGACCGGCTTGCAAAATCAAAAAGAGAGCTATTATTAATTAAAACAATAGTCTACATCTTCACAGCGTATACAAACCCATACATCTACTTCGCAGTTCCATGCAGGATAAATAATGCTGTCTGTCCATTTAAGCTTCTCAACAAAGGATTGGTTAAATAAATGATTACTTACAGTAAAATAGTTACAATAATACCATTAAAAACTGATTAAAAATGTCGTTTTTCTTTAATTGAGGCTTCTACACATATTAAGAGAAATCATTTCAATATATAGCTTAAAACTCTACACAGAAAATGTTTTATAATCTTAATGTACTGTATTATAACATTATAACTGTGCCTCTTCTAGATACTTCCCTTTTGTTAAAGCACACAACAAGAGATCCTCCAGTGTTTCTCTGCATTCTTATTCTCGAAGCAGAACAACCGAAGGCGAGTGAAGCAGCTCGACTGGAGCAGCAGCAAACACACAGAGAGCGTCTGAGAGCACAGGCCTTTAATTGATCTCACAGAGTCAATGACAGACGGCTGAATCCGTTTAATCAGGACTGTAACGAGCCCAAAGTGACTGAGAGGGTTTGTCGTGGGGTTTCATTTATAATATCTGTGCTCATCATTGGGTAAAACACACATAAAATTGCACTGCTGTTAATATTATATTGCGCAGCGGACTATATCAGGGGCTTTTACAGTTTTGAATAAATGTAATAAACAAACAGAAACATGTGAAGGGCTTATTAAAATGCACTCAGGTGAATTTGTTTTCTATTTTCTGAAATAAAGCACATCATAATTCAACCTGTTATGAGAAAAAAAGACAAAACAAAAACAAAAAAGTGGGTCCAGAGGAGATGCTGCGGCGGCGTTCAGTAGTACGGCCTTCTGGGATTGTTCTGTGCAGAAACACAAGACACGTGTTAGTAAGATCACAAGCTTCTCTACATCTGCACATGAGATGAGGGTGTTCTGGTGCGGTGCGGTGCGGTGGGCTGCTACAACGAGCTCTGAACGTCTGATTCACGGAACTGCCTCATGTGCAAACGCACTGAAATGGTTGATGGGTAATGAGTGCGTGAGAGGCTCACCAGAGGGTTCGGTCTGAAGCGATACGCCAGCATCATCCTCTTACGGAAAGCATCGTACTCATCGTCACTCTTCGAGAGTTCAGCGGGTCGGTCCACACCGAAGCCTGCGCCGTCCACCGCCGTGGAGCCTCTGCGCACACACACACACACACACACACACAGGTTTAAATTTGTGAAAAGTGGGGACTCTCCATAGG